GGTAAGATCAACAGGGGACCTGAGTGGTTATAACCCGTTTAAAACACAATTCAAAGAACAGGCACGTTTACAGATTTGGAATGTTGAAATGAATGTGCAGATGGGGGCAAACTGGTTTGTCCAGGGAGATGGAGGGTGAAGAGTAAATTGATGGACCTTCTATGGTCAGGATATAAATTTTGTGCCTATTGCTACAAATTATTATTTTCTTATTATTGATTTTAGAGAGAGAGGAAGGGAGAGAGAAACATCGATGTGAGAGAGAAACATTGATTGGTTGCCTCCTGTGTACGCCCCAACCAAGGATCAAACCCGAGACCTAGGTATGTGCCCTGATAGGGAATTGAACCCGCAACATTGTGGTATACAGGATGACACTCCAACCAACTGAGCCACTCCGTCAGGGGTATAACTACAAATTATTTTGCACTGGTATCAAGTAGCTACAATTTACAGAGTTGTCAAATGGCTCAAAGACACTGAAAGACTAATTGGAATACCTGAGGGATGTCTTCCAGACAACACATGCTTTCCCTCGAACTTTCTCCTACGAGACCAACCTATTCAAATTTCATTCTTTTTCCCCCTCCAGGCCAGGTCACTGGTGATTTGTATATGAACTCCTCAGGGAACACATGGTAAGCTAAGTAACCCTGAGCAAATATTAAAGAAATAGTAATGATTGCAGAACAAATAAAACTATGATAACTATATTTACAACTTTTAAATCAAGTGGAAGACAGTGACTGAAGGGATGTGTTTCCTGCGTGTTTTCTGTCCCGCCTCCCACCTTATCCTCATCAGCCTATTCTCAATTTCAACTGTATTGTTGCAGGGCTTCTATGAAGCAACTTCACTGCGAACTTATGGGAATCCCTAATTTGCAACAGCAAACTGACCCAGATGAAGAATTACAGGAACAAAGGAAGTAGGTCAGGCCCATGCTCTTTAATGGGGAAACCACAATGAGGAATTCACATCACAAATAGAGTAATATTAAGTTATTTTAGGGGGTTGGAACGGGGGGGGGGGACTTAACTGAGATGAAGACTAGGGAACGTGTAGCCATTCATTCAATCAGTCATTCACACAGACACTTTTAGTGCTAGTCACATGTGGTAGGCGCCGTGGTTAGCAACCAGAGATAAATAGAAGCATAGAACAGGATCCCTGTCCTGTAGTTGTTTAGAATTGAGGTAGGAGTGTTCCTGATCCGACTAGATGAAAAATATCATGTGATTTCCTCTGCTCAAACTGAGACAGGCCTAGAGGTGAGATTTTAGAAGTGATATGATAAGGTGGCCCTTTAAGGTGTGTGTTTGCATGTGGGGTCTTCCCTTGCTGGTCCTACCCCCTGCAACACACAATGGGTACATCACTACGAATTGTTTGAACAATACCTAATTAGTAAATTAGCAATAGCAACGAATTATTAATGTTATTTTATTTTTAATTACATATTTACTATTTATTTTTATAAATTAATGTATTGGTTTATTGCCAGAATAAGTAAATAATTGATTAAAATAGGTAGTTAATTACTAATAAGTTCAGGAATAACTAACTAATAATCAGCAGATCCTCTGCCACAGTTCAAGAACTACTGCAAGGTGCATTCTTTGGTTCTTTCCATTCTTGAAATTCTGGATGGTGGCCACCACTGGAGGTTCTCAAATTCTCTCACTCAGTTTCAAAAAGTACTGCCAGGCAAATTGAGCTTTCTGTGGGTTTATGACATTTGGGAAGGTACTTTTTTTTTGCCTTGCCTCCTGTCCAGAGAAAAGATGGCAAGGAAGCTTGGTGAACTCAGGAATGCTCAGAAAACAGCCCTACTCCCTGGGCCCCTGGGCACTGGCACCTGTGCCATCCATGAACAGGTCACCCTGGATTTGTAGCAAAACCTGACGCCTTGTGCATGTGGCTGAGAACTCAAACTAGTTCAAGAAGAGTCTTGATTAGCGGATGGTCGATAAAGTAGAGGTTATGGAGGGAAATCGGGGAAGTTCCAAGTGCGCCTCTGGCATTTAAGGATGGTGTCTTTGAATGCAAACACTGGACTCTCCCTCACTTTCCCTCAGTGTCGTGGCCGGAATTCTGGGCTAGTGGCCTTTCATCTGATCTGTGATTACATTTCTGATCTTATGAAGAATATTGTACCAGAAAAGGTCATGCTAGAACACCCAAAAGAGCAGGTGCGCTGTCTCCAGGGGCAGAGTCTGCCTGCTACACAGCCCCAGATTTAGGACACAAGTTCTTCAAGCATGCCATGCCCAGCACACTGGCACCTGCTAAATACAGACTCTCAGTGTGGCTCACGCTAATGCTGATGATGTCCGTGGCGACAGTGTAACCGCATTGATCTCCTTTGTCCCAAATGATTGGTGTGTGTGT